TTGAGGGTTTTAGAGTTTCGGGTTAACGGTCCTAATTCCAGACACAAAGCACCCTAGCTTCTAAAAGATTCAGGCTTGGTTTCAGGGCTTTAGGATTAGCTTTGCAAACCCTACATCCCAGACACCTCAAAGCGAAAGCGTAAGTGTGAACAAAAATACAGAAGCATACATCTTAAATGAATGTCAAGTAAAATAGACATCGCATAGCATAGCATATGCATTTACAACTACAAACTAAATACCATCTCCGATGGCTATACTGAGTACTATACTGCTATAAGGCTACTATTATAGACCTTAGATCAGATATCTAGCCCTAGGGTGTTTGTGGGGCTGAGAAACAGCGGCTAAATTAAAAATCCCCGAAAGCTCCACCTAGTATATATATATATATATTCACAAGCAAGCAGTGTGTGTGGCCAGGCTGCTTCTTCAGGGCCTCCTGCGTTGCTTGTGTGCGTGCCTGGATGCTTTGAGGATGAGTCACGCAGACGAGCCCAGGGCTCTTCCAACCGCTGAGTCGGGGTTCGAGGCAGTCCTCCCCCATGCTACCGTCTGTATGGCTTCGCATACTGAAATATCAAAAATGGACATTATATTAAACTATATTTCTATAATCAACCATCATATGTAGGGCATATGGTTTGCCTTGGTCGAAAACTCTCCTCAGCTTCCGAGTTGACCAAAATTTTGGCGTTGCCCTCAAGTCAAGCTCAGGCACATGCGAATCTTTAATTTAAGGACCTGTAAGGAACACCGTTTCAAAGGTCAGGCTTCTTCGCTCTCGTTGCCCACGTGTCCAAACGGCCACGCACCTCCAAATCACGCCAGAAAAGTCATCCCGATCGCTCCTTGTTTGGAGTGGTCCACACCATCTTATATATGGGCTCTCCGACCGATGGACCAACACCCCGCAACCTGAATCCCAACGGCTTGCCAAATCCATCCTTCAGCCGAAGCATGCCTGCCTGTTTGGTCTGTTGGATCGCCTCGCTTCGAAGATGCCTTTGCAGATCAATCACTGTACAGGCCATCTTCTTCTGTTTGTAGCTATTGTGGGCGCACTAGTTGGCAAACACAACTTCCGTTTTCGCATCAGTGCACCTCATGTCTGATGGTACAGATGCACCAATGAACCTGAAAGAATATAGAGGTCTGTACAGGACCAAAGATGTCCGGACGGACTCTAAGGACGTGTGATCTGGATGTGTATTGAAGTATTGCGAGGCATTGCAAGAACTGCACCTCGTAGCGGCAAGAGATCAATCTACTCTGTACAAGATTGAAGTCTTCCGAGCTGCTCTCCTGTGCTTTAAGTTCTGGCTTTCTTTGCCTGTGGGATGTCGTCGACGCGTGCCACCCCAGGTACAGGGGAATGCACGAATGTATGCTCGGGACTTGTGCCTGAGAATCCTGTGGCAGTGTGGCCGTCTCCATACATCCGGTATTTGTGGATTACCAAACCTGGGCCCATTTTCGGAAGGAGACCGACAAAAAGGATACTTCTGATTGAAGTACTAAGAACCCCAAGCTCCAAACCGTAAAAATAGATCCCCAAGATTGACCAAGCAACCCTCAAGGCCGACGGGTCCTCGGGCATGGATTCGATTTGTGGATATGCCTACCTCGGCTCCGAAGCCGTAGCGGAAGCCATCGGCAAATCGCGTCGAGCAATTGTGGTAGACACCGGCCGAGTCAATCCGGCTGAGGAAGGCTTCGGCGATCATGGGGTCTTCCGTGACGATGCTCTCCGTGTGCCCAGAGCTGTGGCTGTTGATGTGGTCAATGGCTTCCTGGACAGAAGTAACTGCCTTGACAGCCATAGTGTGACAGAGGAATTCGGTGTCAAAATCATCTTCCGTCACCGGCTCGGAAAGGGCTACCGGTAGATGGGGTAAGCACGTGGCATCTGCCTTGTAGTGCACATCGTCCTTTGCTTCCAATGCTGCTGCGAGCTTGGGCAGAAAAGATGCGCACACATCTTCATGGACCAAAAGCGTCTCCATAGAGTTGCACGCCGCACAGTAGTGTGTCTTGGAGTCGACAACGATCTTCACGGCTTTCTCCAGGTCTGCTTTGCTGTCGACATAGACGGCACAGATTCCATCTGCGTGGCCCATGACAGGAATGCGAGAGGCATCCTTGATAGACCTGACCAACTCATTGGAACCTCTTGGAATGACCAAGTCGATGTACCTATCCTGCTTTAAGAGCTCCGACACTTCTGTGCGGGTGTCAACCCCTTGAATGCAATCCGCAGGAAGGCCGACGTCTTGCAGAGCTGCAGACATTGCGGTCACAAGAGCTGCATTGGATCGTTGCGCTTCCTTGCCACCTTTGAGGAGTAAGGCATTGCCAGACTTCATAGCTAGCGATGCAATCTGAACAGCAGCATCAGGTCGAGCCTCAAAAATGATGAGGAGAACTCCGATCGGACATGTCAGCCGGTATAAGTTCAAACCTTCAGCAACCTTATTTGCATACGTTACCTGGCCAATTGGGTCTGGCAGGCTCATGATCTCATCAATCCCCTTCAGGAGAGTGTCAAACTTCGCGCCACTAACGTCCAGACGCTTGAACAGCGAACTGGACAGTTTGCCTGCTTTAACTGCAACTTCGGCCTCTGCCTTGTCTTGGGCATTTGCCTCTTCGATAAGCGCTCGCTTCTCCACCAAATGCTTCTTGAAGGCTTCTAAGGCCTTGTTCCTCAGGCTCTCGCTAGAACCGGCCAGGCTCTGACTGGCAAGTCTTGCTCTCTTGGCCACCTCCTCCATGGCTCAAGCTGTGCTCACGTGTGCTCGACTAGGCCTTCGCGAGAATCTCTCGCCAGATAAAGCGATGTCTTGAGAGCACGGAGAATTGCAACATATTGTAGCACTATAGTCATCTTGCACCGAATCCTACTGTAGAACAAATACTCTCTGTCTCTCTCTCACACACTCTCTCGCTGCCGTGTCATCTGTGCTATGATATACTGCAGTATTCTATGATACACTAAGGCCAGCACAGCGGGATCCTCCCTTCGCCTTCATTCCGCTGGGCGTTGATTCGCGGCGTGAACGTGCACTCGTAGAGGTCCTTGGTGCGCAAATCCTAAGCCCTTTTTTGAACTAAGGCTCAAACTATAAACCCTAACCAAAAACCTTAAATCCTAAACCCTAATCCTTCTGACGTTGCCTCTCTGCCTTCCTACCAGCAACTTACATGGGACTATTGACTGTAGTCATTTAGGGGTAGTATTCACGACACATTCCACTACTTAGGGCCAACATTGGAGTCTCTTATGGTGCGAAAACCACATGCGTCATCTTGCCTTCGCATGATGAAAGACGTTCTCACAACAGAGCTCGCGGGATGAGGTGGAAGGATCAATAGAAAAAAGCTGTGGCCGCGTTCTGCGGGTCCATGTACCTTTGTAGTGTGTACTTGCTCTTGCCTCTAAGTAGTCCCTATATAGGCACTTTAGGGCCAAATTTATGCACACTGTATATGCGCATGGAGCCTCGGTATTTTCCAGTTCGTGCCGTTTTGGAGGATGTCAGCATGCAAAGGTTAGAAGTTGGGAGTAGTGTAGGCTGCGCAGCTATGCAGTCGAACACGGTGGGGCATCTGCCGCGTGTTGGATATGCTCCGTATGCTGCAGAATCACTATCTCCTGGCGGTCTTGCCATGCCCATCCGCTAGCTCCTGGGTGTACGACGTACTTGATTTCCGCCGGGCTCGCAGCCAGCTGGAAAGTGCATACCAAAGGTTGGAAAATGAGCAGGCTGGAGAAGCTGACGGGCTTGACAATGTTATTGTCACATCTCTGTGAGGCCCGAGGAATGCTGCAAAACTCCGATCCCATACCATACCCTGGCATCCAACACTAGCCACAAGTACCAGGACCCCAAGGAAATTGGGGCAGGTCGTTAGAAGGATCTAGGTACATCCAGTGACAGTATCGCTGCTGTGCTGCATTTGCATCCAGCAGCTCCTTGGCCTTGCAACAGGGCGACGTCTTCAATGCGATTTCTTTTTTTGGGGGGGGACATCTAGCGACTCAAATTTAGGTGCTGTACAGACTTAGACGAAAGTGTCAGGCCTCGGAGTGCTTTTCGGTTAACACAAATACATACATATAAAGATACTGCATATATATATATATGGGGGGGGGGCGACCATATATATATATATGTATATACATACATATCTATATCTATATATATATATATATACACGCATATGCAATCCCCCCTCCAGGATCTACTGTTTTCGTGTGAAGAGTACGTTTGATTTTGATTTGACCGTTTGTGCCGTGAGTTTTTGCTTTGAACTAATGCAGGAACTGACTGCATGCGTGATTGTTATCCAAAAGGGCACAAAGCGAACTGGTAAAGGATTCAATTTACTATGGCACATCCTATGACCTACATGTAGCATCACACTTTATGGGTGATGTCGACTTTAGGATTCTATCACTTGTTAATTTTGTTGTTGTCCCTTACCCTTATTCTTAGTTTCTCTTTCTATGTCTAGAGGTTAGCTAATACTATGAAGAGAGCATGTTCGTTGACCTGTTTCGCTAAATATGAAGAAACAAAGTGAATGTATGGTTTAAGCGTAAAATGACGGTGAAACATAGGAACTGAATCAGGAGTCGTTCCAGAAGAACATGACCCAAACAAGAAGATAGATGTGGAGATAGAAAGCTTTGGGATGGCCTGTGATTAATGAAGAAGAAGAAGCAAACGAAAGCATGTGCAATGCGTGTTGTTTTCATTGAAACACAACCAACGCCCCAGATTAATGTAATGAAACAAAGTGAAATAAAATGAGGCGCATGCGTGGTTTTATTATGACGAAAATGAAGGGCATGAATTGAGAAGATAGAATCTTCTGTGATATAGTTCCATCAACGAAAGGCATAAACGAAAACGAAAGGAAGGGAATTTAACAGAAGAGAACTCAGCGAAATTGAAAAGGGAAAAGCACCATTAAGTTAAGCATGCTTCTTTCTTCACTCCACTACCTTTGTTCCATTAGTGCTTTTGCTTTTGCACGTGCATCTGATCTGTCGTTCTAGAAGTGCAAAATGTTGACTTTTGTTGAACAAAGAACCGTATGGAAAGCACATGGGAAGAGGAAAGATCATGAATGAAAAGAAAATGAATACGTGCATTCTTTACCCTTCATTTCTTGTCATTACATTGCTGTGGATTTTCCATTGTATGCCTAGGTGATAAAAAACTTCGCGTGTTTTCTCTAATGGCATAAATAGGCGTAAACTTCCCTACTTTGCTTTATGCATTTCATTGAACTAAACACAAGTGCGAACCCTACACAACGCTTAATTCATCGTCTTGGTGCTGTATACTTGGTTCGAAAGGGAAATTTCGCATCCACGACCTGTCAACCCCTTGCGGTGTCGATTGGAAGGTCTACCCAGCCACGTTGGGGACTTGATTCCTTGTGACAAAAGAAGCCAATTAATTTCACGATATGGAATGAAACAAGCGAAACAAAGAGAAGCGCGTGATTACATGAAAGGTATGTATTTTGGGGTTGTTGTGGTGTTTTGCTCGTTTAAAACGAGCGAAGCATGCATTCACTCAATTTGTTCCTCTCTTTACCTTCAGGTGAGATAAATGATGGAATATTTATTAACCTCTGATTCCAGTTCATCTCCTATACCGGGGGCATCCAAGATTCCAAGATCCAAGATTGCTTCGGAGACTTTTCCTGGAATCTTGGACACCGGAGCCCGGTCCGGTACAAACCGGTACAAGTTGTACCGGACCGTGCTGCGGTATCCAAGATTACAAAAAAAAAGACTTGGAATCTTGGATCCCGCCGGTACAAGTTGTACCGGTTGCACCGGGGCCATGGCCTGTACCCAGGATGCTTGGTGTGGTGTTCACCGAGGATCTACTGTTCTCGTGTGATGGGGTTCAACCCGCCACAAAATGGTAGATCCTTGGAAGGGGGGGGGTACCACGTATACATATATGTATGTATGTACGTATGTATGCATGTATGTATGTACGCGTATATATATATATATAGACACACTCAAATGTTACCACACATATACGTATACATATACCCAACCATATACAAATGCCAAAACATATGAATATGCACCTACAGAGACGGATACACATATATATATATGCATATGGCATATACATCTACAGTATACAATTGGTATACAGTACACGCTATACAGAATACAATGACAATACATCAGAAACACACATACATATGCATGTACATATACATGTACATATACAAGCATCCATGCATGCATGCATGCACACACATGTGTGTATGTATGTATATGTACATGTATGTATATATGTATATGTATGTACTGTACGTAGATACATACATATCATGTGTGTATACGTGCATTTTCATATATTGCTACATATGTATTTTTGGAGCCCCGTTTTGGATGCTAACGTATATATACACACACATACTGGAAACCGTTTTTAGGGTTCGAGGCCAGCGGCCTCCACATGGAACTCTCTCAGCTGGGCTCCGTCGTCAGGAATAGCAGGGCTCACTTATAAAATCCCTGTCCCCCCCCCCTTCCCCCACGCACCAGAAAGCCGCTGCTGAGAAGCCATTAGGCTTGAGGGTTATGCCTGTCTGAAACCTCTCGTTAGCGAGAATCGTGACGCCACCTCATGAATACAAGCAAGGAAACATCTGAAGCTGGCCGGTCTTGCACAAAACCCTCTGAAACGCACTGCTGCATGCCAACAGCAGACATGCTGAAATCCAAAGTCAGGCCTGGCAAACTACCGAAAGCACGACACCACCAGTACCAACTTATCTCCAAACCTATGACCAAAAAAGCTAGGAGAATCAAACTTGACAAAGATATCCGGGCGACATCAACCTAGTTGCTGAGTTGCTCAGTTCCGTGGCCCAGAAAAGGTTGACAGTGGATTTAAGGCAGGGCTATATATCTACCTTACCTACCCAGCGAAGAAAACCCCAACCTAAACCCTAAAAACACCTAAACCTCAGGCCCTTACGACCATAATCGCTCCACAACTGCGTTTCCCCGAACCACCCGTGTCCTTCGCCCCGTCAAACTCAACTAAACATTAAAAATCAAAACAGAGCAGCCCAGGCCTGCGCTCTGAGCTTAGACCTGCAACAAAGCAGCAGACGTCTGAGTTTGGGGTTTAGTTTAGGGGATTTTAGGGGAGCTCGTCGGGCAATCGATGGTGTACGACGCAGCTTTTAGGTTTTGAGCAGAGGTGCCAGAGTTTACGTTTCTGGGGTTCGGGGCTGAATCCGTGTATCCGAGCCCTTAAGACTATTGGATGCTGGCCACCTCCGGCCGGCATCGTTGTAAAGCCGCTCATTCAGTGGCTCAGCGAAGCAGCCACGAGATCGCCTCGCGAAAGTATCGGACCTAGGTGCTGAGAGCACATGCAGAGTCGAAGCTCGCTTGACTGCTCACAGCATCAAGTAGGGCTCAGGGTCCATGGAGATTGATGTTGACAGGAGCTTGGCTTCCACCGTCGTTTTCATATTCTGGACTGTCACCCTGCAGGAACTTGTCTGTTCAAGCACGGCAGCCAAGAGTCTTTTGGTTGATGGCAGGTCTGAATGTGCAGGCCTCCTTCATCCGCATCTCCTGTTTCAGCAGCCCACTCCGAGACGCGAACCTACAAGTAACATGGCTTTGGAACTAGCAGGCTGATCCTCGAAGGCGCATTCCGACGACTGAACCACGGTGAGGACCCATCCCTAAACCCTTTTTGCAAAAGGCTTTCATTTCGCCTGGAGTTGGAGCAAGCAGCCCTGGCTAGCTTTCACATCCGCCGAGCAACGGCATCTGAAACAATGTTCATCACGAATGTTCTGATGTGTGCACCGGACCTCATGAGCCCTGAACCCTAAACCCCACAGCCCTAAACAAGAACTTCAGAAGGGAGACCCTGCAAAGCAGATCGGACGCCTGGCCTGGTCCAGCTTTGCATCTTCCTTCTTCTGCATCTGCGCCTCGCCATCGCACACCCTATTGGCTATGCTGCGCAAATTTGTGATTAGAGTGGGACGATGCTCTTTCGCGTTTTTCTTCATCGTCTCAACAAATTGCGCCCCACCTGCTCACCCTCAGATCTTCACGGAATTCTTTACCCCCGCGGCTGTAGGCAACGGCATTCACTTCGGACGGATGGACGCCCGAACCGACAGCACTGGAACCACCATCAAGCTACAGACGTCTGCCATACCATGCCGGTAGCTCAGAGGTCTGAAAAACGAGGGAGTCGGTAGAGGAAATTCCCTGCACATCAGTAGAAAAGAGCAAGAACAAGGGTTCCGAGTGAAGTCCATTCATGCAAGTCTAGCTGGAAAATAGATCACTTAGCTACTGATTCTTTGACTCCCCGTGAGTCCCTGAGCTTCAATCGACACATGTTGAGTCCCAGACAAAAACCTGCTGCAGCGCGCCTTCTGTTGATTCGTCCATTCTCGGAGCCTCTCCCGAAAGCCTTTTCTGTCAGGCTGGCTTTCGGAGAAACACATCACTTAACAGAATGAATGGTCAATGGTTCTCGTTCTGCTTGCTGGGCATGAAGCGTTCCATGAGCAAACCAATCTCCGGGAAGCTCAGAGCCACCGCACTACCGCCCAGTGCAAGGCCCAACTCTCTCCCTGTGAGTCTGCTTGGTCTATGCCCCAATCCTGTTGTTTCATCTTCAAAACCCAACCGATCCCGAGAAAGCACTCCTGAAAGACCTATGTGCAGAAACCCTTCCCAGATCATGTTTTCTGAAGCAATGAACTTGGGCGTATGGTCCACCAGTCTCGGAGGTAGCTTCGGTGCAGCAAGTGAGCAAAAACCTATCCAGAGATTCCTACACCCCTGAATGAAGCTCCTTGTGTATGTTCTGGGTCAAGCTTAACACAGGTATCTACCTGAAATAAAGGGGGTTGGGGTCGATTATATCGACGAACTCTTACTCTTAATAAATCACACATGAATTGGGTTGTCTGCGTTCCATCTTTGCAGCCTTGGTGCTGTGTCGCACCCTGGGGCTTTGCGACGGGAGGCTCGTCGTGGTACCGCGATTTCCGGTGAGGCCTTCGATGAACTGTCCGGGTGTCGCATACTATATGTGAAGTTCCCCTGTTCAGGTCTCCATAGTGGCCCTGGTTTAGGATCAGGGCTGCGGCACACAGACCGCCGTCAACGTCTAAATGCATTTTGAGGCTGCAGGTGTTGTGAAAGGCGATATATAATCCTTTCTGTTGGCTTTGCTGCTACAAGGTGCTGTTACTGCAATCGTCCTGGCCAACATTTGCTGACGATCTTGATGCTCGGGCCAGCATTGCATTCAATGGCCCGAGACCGTGAAAATGAGTACTTCCTCATCAATACGGACCCAAAGGAGACACGGTCGAAATGGGGATCATCAGAATGACGTATGCACTTGGGTGACCAGAGCTGGTGAAGGCATCGATGCCTTCCCAAGCTCGTTGAGTATTTTTTCGACCCGAAACCGGCGCACAAGGCAGGCAAGGCTGAGCAAGATCCTCCATAAAGACTGCCAGCCAAATGCATCAGCGACCAAATAGCCCACCCCCCATGAACCGACCAAAACCACACGTCGCCCAGGCATAGGCAGTCCCGGGAGCATAGGCCCCCAGCACCTGTAGCAAAACAGATCTACAGTCAAGAGCCTCCTCTGTACACCTCCATCCAGAAACCGCGAGAATAGCCTCTTCCCGGCTTGAAGCTTCAGGCATAACTTGGTACGACATGATCTTCTGAAACTCGACGTATAACTTCAGAGCGAGCACATCTAAGATGCTTTCGAAGAGGTCAAAAGCATCTTGCGGGAGGAGAACCTGCAAGGAAGGCCAACTTCCAATATAGCGCAAATAGCTAAGCATCAATATCAGCAGCTGGATCAAAAGAAGATCTCTGCCCCCATTCTGTGACATCCAACCAGATGGCAGTTGCGAACTCTGAGCTCCAGTGCACATACACACGCACACAATCTTCAGTGGCACTCGTGGGTAAGAGCATGTTTCCACATGCCCCAGTCGGTAGAAGACTTTGCATAATGAGGGGCATGGCTTTAGAGCCAGCTACACACTGGCTTTAGTTCAAGACCTAACTGTAGGACCTAACTAACTCACAGGTCTCTGCCTGATAAGCATCGAAAGAAGCCCTGGTCGGGTTTCATGTAAAATATGTTGCGAATCTGTTTCAATCCGCCTTCCAGCTGCTCAGGTGGCGGAAGCAACTCCTTCGGCAAAGATGTCCACTTCTTCCTCGGGAGGATACACATCGTGCCCTTGGTGATGTTCAGGCACTGGTCTTTCAGCGACTGGCCTGCAGGCTTGTCGTCTATACACCACGCAGATGTCTTCGACTTGTTCAGACGGCAAAGGCAATGCTGCTGCCAACTTGAGACGGGTAAGAAGATCGGAGGGCGGCATGGTGGAGTGTTGTTGTTCATGAGGCAACATGGAATTGAGCCCACACAGACATCCTCGACTTTTCATGCCAACAACATGGGACGTATCTTGCTACTGCAAAACTGCAAGCAACAAGGAATGTCAAGAAGCTTACAGGCTTACAGGTGCAGTGAAGCATCAGGGCGCAGCATGCCGTGGCAGTACTCCGACGCGCTCCAGCTGCTATCCCAGGCGGCGTGGTAGAGATCATGATGTTTTTTGGGATTGCGGATCAACAGTTCTGTCGTGGGACTCTGGCTCAGCCCAGCTGCAATGATGTCAGCATATGTTGCCCAATTGGTGGTAAGCGAATTATCAGCAGAAAACGGCTGCCCAAGGATCATGTATTTACGCCGTGCAAAAACGCGTCCCGCCGCATCCACGTCAAAGCAAGCCCGGAAGCATGCGTCTGGGCGGTGGCGCAGGACAATCGTTCTTCCAGCATCCATGGCAGTCTGCGGCAAGGTCTCTCGAATCACGTGGGCAATTAGCCAGCAACCATACCAATGGACGGGATAGTTGTACCGCTTTTTGAGAGCAGGGCCATGTCTAGTAAGTGACATGAAGCCCAGGCGACCTTCAAAAAAACGATAATCATCTTCCAATACCTCCAGTGGATGGCCTGACTCAGAAGATGCCAGAAATGTGACAAACCAACAGTCTCCTGCTGAGCGCCGCAGCCTATCCAGCATCGTCAGCCGCACGTACTTTAGGGATCGATATAGGCCAGAAAGTATCAACCAAACCTTTGGCACGCAAGTGACATTGTACCTTGACATGTTCTCGGCATACAAATTGTGGTATTGCAGCTGGATGCTGGGTGACCAATGCTTCAGAAACTTGGACAAGGCCTCCTTCGCGGCAGCTGCCCTAGATGTGGGCGCGGATGTGGATGTGGCGGCAGTTGTCGCAAAGATTCCATCCACAGCGCTCCTCAAAACGTTGGGAGGTGGGGACGGAGGCACCAACCTGGGCATGGACATGGTCGTGGTTTCCGCGGACATTGCGTCCACAACGCTCCTTGCATGCACAGTGCTCCTGAAAACGGACAGCCGATGAGATTGCATAAACGCTATATAAACGCCAGAAAGCGCGAAGGAAGCAACTGCCACACAACAAGCTGTGCTGAAATTTGGCATCCAGTTCAGCAAAAGACAAGATCTATGGGCCATTGATCTCTTTGGAGAGGAAGACGCTCACACCAACACGTATTTCTGCATATTGCTACACAGCAGAATGCTGCAAGGTGCATCTTAGCTGTGTGCAGCGGCGCTCATGGTCGTTGACGAATTCGCTGTGTTCCTTTAGTGGCCGCAAGTAGCGTTTTTTGAGGCTTGGCAAAGTACATGGAGAATGCCTGGCAAGATGGCCCCAGAACCTGTAAGAGCCTGTAATTCCAACCTAAACTGCTCCAACTCATACCCCAACCTAAACCCTAGAGACCCGGCTGTAAGCCCCAAAAGCTAAGCCCTGAAATCCCTACATCCCAAACCCGAGAAGCTTACAGGATCCCACGGGCCCTGGAAAATCCTTATCTTCCGAGCTTCAGGAAAAGTCAATGCGTCAATTATGGGTATAATGGCATGGTAGGGTAATAATTTATCCCAAGCCAACTATGTGAAAGGCTACCTCCTCAGCTACTTAGATTACAAGAACCTTATTTGACGAATTGCCCATCTGCTCTATGGGGTTCCATGGATTTAGACGCTGGCCTAGGTCTTCTCTTCGTGTGCTCTCATCTCAGGTGTCCTCAAAGAATGTTGTGCCCAAGTCTAGCCAGACTCTGGCCTGACGCGTCACTGCCCATGCCGGTCACCTTGTTTCAGGCAATGGGAAACAAGATTCAAACCCTAAACCCGACCCTAAACCTAAAAAGGTTCCTACCCACATGACATGCTGAAAATCAGCCATAGGCCCAGAGGTTTTTAAATTAAGCCGAAGGGCTGCCTCGGCATTTCGATGTCCGTAGTGTCGATAGAAGGCCTCCGCTTTCGGCTGTCACATGTTCTCTCCCTTTTTAAGTTCAGCACGGACTGAGGTGCCGGGCAGCGCCTATGCAACCCTCACCCCCTCTTAAGGCAAGAGCACACAGGACAAGCTGTGACAACGAAATCCTAAACCCTACCACTATCCTCAAGCCCAGGCACAGAATCCGGAAGCAGGTCCCCAAAGCAGGACGTGCAAGGCTGTCCCTCAGAAGGAAGTCCGCGCGGGCTTCACGGCATTGAGGTGAACTCAAAGGCTCGATTCGCACAAATCATAAACCACTTCGAGTGAGGCAGTTCGCGGGCACAGTGCAAAGCCAACATGCAGCTGCAACCCAAATCATCGGACACACAAGAGGAAATCTGACACCCTAAGTGTGGAAGCTGCAGCCGATCGCCTCTTCATGAGCATCGGCGATGCCGGCGATGCCTGTTGGCAGAGTTGCAGCACTCAGCGCACACCCTTGTTCAGAAGCGTGCACATGTGCTCCGCGCTCGCTTTGGATTCCCGACGCTCAGTACAGAAAGCAGATCCTAGCAAGCTTACCCACAACCTCTCTTCTTCTTGAAACCAGCCCAAAGCACTTCAAAATTTGAAGATGGACCAAATGTGTGTGCATGTGTGTATATATATACACACATATTTGTTCATTGATTTATGGCCCAAAAGTTTAAAGTTCCCCCTTGGCTATCAGAGCGACAAGGAAGATCTCGGAAGCTGTTTGCGACGGACTGAAAACCTGCCTGGGAAGTCCGGAAGGAAGATCTTCTTGTGACTGCCCTGCCAGCAGGATAGGTAAACTGGGGCTACAGCCCCATAGTCTGAAAGTCTCCAGCTCATTTCGGGGCCTGAAGAAGCAGAAGACGATTTTTAGTTAAAGTGTATATTTGATGATTGTCATATTAGGGAGTACAAGGGGCCAAAAAGGACACGAAATCACCGCAAAATGCAGAAGCGCAACAGCAAAATCCGCCCCCAAAAAAAATCGAAGCAAGATCCGGCCTGGTTTCTTTCCGGAGATAGAGGCGGTGCTGAGGCCTGAGGCAATTACCGAGTTTTGCTGCTCTAAATTTCCAGCTTGATGACCGAGTTCCCTGACCCACAGAACCTCTTAAATGTGCCAGCTGCAAAAGCAATCTTCTTCAAATGCTGAAACAGTCCAAGCCCCCTGTGCCCTCTCCTCCAACGCAAAATATGTTCCAGAAGCGGAACCCAAGGAAGGCTGTACGCTTCATGGACCGGCTGGAGACTTTGTAAGTCGGCCAACCGGGCAACCAGTGCCATCGCTCTGCAAAAACCAATGCTACTGTGTTCTACGGTTCAGGGTTGCGCTCTTTCGGACTTCTGGGTATACGCTCTCGCGGGTTTTGGGCCGTTAAGTAAAATGCAAACTTCTCAGTCCCGTCTAGCTCCATGCTCTCCCATTTGCATTACAGCTGGCTTTTTTCCCTCTCGCATGGCAGAGAACAAAGCTCACAGGCGACAGCTGGCTTTGGTCATAGGGGTTGAACTGTCCACTTAGCCGCCGGATAAACCTACTACAGCAATTCTCCTACATGTTCATCTTTGAGCCCTGTACCCTATAGTAGAGACCCCAAGCCCTCAGCCCAAGTGACAAAAAGAATGCTTGGACACCGGGCCGGTGAATCCAAGAGCCGTGTGATGGCCCGCCGAGGCGTTCCCGTGGGGCTCCAATCCTTGGTAATGAGAGTTTGAGAGCATATAGGGCTTATGCAGTAGGGCTTCTGAGCTCGGGGTGTTTGAGTTTGGAGCTTGGGATCTTGGGGCATTGGGCTTTCTTGTAGGGCTTAGGGTCTTGGTTCTTATTCTGCCTCCCGCCGTGTTATGACGAACCTACGCCGCGGAGTACTTTGCCAGGAAATCGCCGAAACTCGGAAGGCTCAGGTTCAGTGGGACTTTACGAACTGTATACCACAACATCACTTCCTCGATGATCAGCTACCACCCCGATTTAGAATTGGGGTTACGGCAGGCGACGAACTTGGAAAAAAAAATCCGGCTAAAAGAGCTCGCTATGAATACTTCTTCGGGTTCGGTGAAACAGGCCGCGCCCTGAATGCGGACATCTTTCATTTCAAGAGCGGCCCAAGGCCTCAGACCCAGAGTGGCAGGGAAGACCCAATACCCTAAACCCTAAGCCGAAACATCCCGAAACCCTACCCCCTAAACTCTTCCGGACAAGCCTTCGAAATCTTAAGCCCTTCTCATCCGGCCCCATTGCCGCAGGGAGCAAACTGAGGGCCAAACGTTGCATCTAGCTGGAATCCAGCGTCTTAACAATCGTAATCCTGAACTCTTGAAGTAGATGCGAAACCTAAACGCCGTAGCTTGTTCGGACACCCTTTCATGCAGGTGAGAGTTGACTCCCGCAGCTCTGACATGACAAGCTCTTGCGAAGTCGGAATAGGGTGAAGTTACCATAGGAGGGTAGTAGCACAAACTGTTCGGACGTTCAAAGTATCATGACCGAGTTGCGGCCCAGGATGCTTCCAGGTTTCGGCGTGGTGTCTGCTCCAGCTTCTCCTGCAAAGGATTGTGAGTGTTGAGTGTGTTTGGCCTCCTGCAAGGCCAAACGAGTGGCTAGGTAGGGTGACGCGGGAGATACCACGAAATTCAAACGTACGCTTCATTGCCATTTCAGCATGTACGTCTATATGCACGTTCGCTGTAGTCTCGGATCAAAGCCCGTCACTACATATGGCTGACCGTGAGCATTGACTGACTTCAACTCCTAAACACTATCCCGAAGACTAACCTTGCCATTAGACCTTACATTGGCCCCAATGGTGACAGTAGTCTTCTAGCTCACGTTCACCCAAAAAGGATGCCTTCTGGATTCACATCTCAGGTCGTGTGGATTAAAATGTTATGTCGACTTGAAACCCATTTATGTATACCTCCCCATATCAACTCCCATACCGACCTGAAGGTTAATACAATAACATACATCAGC